AACTTACTATTATGTTAACCCAAACCCGTTTTTTGGTTTTTGTAGCAATTCTCAGTACTAGCAAAACTTAACAGAACTGTAATGATAGATGTAACTAGATGTACATCCTAGATTATATACTACTGTGTTAACCAAACTGGTTTTTGTAGCAATTCTCAGTACTAATAAAATTCAACGAAACAGAACTGCAATGATAGATGTAACTACATGTACATCCTAGAGTATATACTACTGTGTTAACCAAACTGGTTTTTGTAGCAATTCTCAGTACTAATAAAATTCAAATCGAAACAGAACTGCAATGATAGATGTAACTACGTGTACATCCTAGAGTATATACTTCTATGTTAACCAAAATGTGTTAATTACATGTTAGTTACTCCTTTTGGGCAATCTTGAGGACTACTTTGGTTGTTGTGTTGTATGTGAAGTTTACTGCTGGAAGATTTAATAAACTGTTTGTGAGAATGTCCCGAGTTAATGTTGGCTGGCTTTTTGGTTTTGAATTGCCAGTATCTGCTTGATTGGCTCCTCAAACAATGTTAGTTCTAGGGACTTCTCATCAGAGAACTGTACCATTACCTGAGCATACCAGTGTTGAGATGCAGGTTTAAGTTTTTTGCTTCATGTGACAATTTTGCACTCCAAATATGCTGCTCCAGTAGATTGCTCTAGTTTCTTTTTACACTTAAAGCAAGAGAAGTACGAGTTGATGGAAACTATTCCCATTATTTCTCCTTCGACGGTTGTGGATACAAATTGTGTAGTGTCCTGAGTTAGTGGCACAGCTAGGATTTCAGTAAAATCTTCTGTGAGTCTGATTTCAGTGCCATATTTAGCAGTGTTTAAGTAAATGGTTTCATTGTATTTGTCCTTTTCGTACAGTTACATTGTGGAAGATATATGTTCGGTTGTTTTCCACTTGGTTAATAAAATTCTCCCACAATACCATTTTCATTGAAGCTGTAGGGTCAAGCAGAATACAGTTCACAAGAGTTAAATCTCCTGCTTTTTGCTGTTTGGACATGTTGGTTAGTTTGGCCTTTACAGTTATATGCTGGCCAACTCGAACAGATTTGACTGACAAAAGGGTGGTTGAAGATTGTATTTGTGATCTTTGGAAGTCCAGTTCTGGATAGTGTTCGACTATGACATCATGTCCCATCAACAGATCACTGGTGTTTGCATTGGTGTCTACTTTGAACCTTTTAATTTTATGGGGCTCTTCTTGTCCTGAAAGTCTGCAAAAATCTTGCGCTTACTTGGTGAGAAGCACACGGCTCGGGTAACTGATTCATCCCTCCCTTGCAACTGGCATTGAAAAAAACTTTTCGTTATACACAGCAGAAACATTATGTATGTATCCCACAAATTCTTGACTTGAAGAAGGAGCACCAGTGCTGTGAGTAGCTGTTTGCTTTGAGAAATCATCCATGACTGAAAAAAAAAAGAAGACTATTAATAAATAAAGGATTATTGCCTATAAAAATAAAGGACACAATATAAGCTAAACCAATCCTTTGAGTATATAATTACTGAAATATAGTGGATATTTACCTGATGATTACTGTTAGGGGAGAGGGAGGGTACAGGGATGAAGGAGTTATAGAAATTACTGAATCTTTGTAGTGATTATTATGATTATGTAGTCATCTTTTAGTATGGATTGTATTACATCTAGGTGTGGTTGTGTCCTTATCTGTATAACAGGCAAGAAAAGTTTGAATTGAAGTTATGTTTCTGTATTGACATAGTTTATTAACGCACATATTGTTTTGTGGTCTGAAAAATAAGTTTCTAACAAGTGTAACTTTGCCTGAGATTCTGGCAGGTTAGTATAAATGTGGTCTATAGCTGTTTTGCTGTCAGTGGTATACAAAGATACTAACTGTCTGTAGTTATTTTCTGTAATAAATAGATTATATAATGGAACTCTATCAGTTTGATTTAACCAGTTTACATTAAAATCTCCAAGGAAAATATTGTACTGTGTAGTTGTATGTAAAAGTACCTGTCTTAATGCAATACACAATTGTGTTACTGGCACTTTTGGGGATCGATACACACCAATAATGGTGAGATGAGGTAGATACATGCATTTAATGATAGTCAGCTCAACACCATTCCTATTTAAACAATAAGGAGAGCCAGGAATTAATTGGATTCTGCTGTATACTGCTGTACCTCCAAACGGTCTTGTAGTGTTATTAGAGTCACAGTCATTTCTAAACAAACTATATCCATCAATGGCATACATGCTATCATGATCTGAATGAGTAAATCTTGTTTCTGAAAAAAAAATGCTTATGTCAGTGTTTGAGTAGTTGAGATCTTTACGTATATCATCTATATGTTTGTGTAATGACCTTGCATTAAGATAGCATATTTTTAAAGAAAGTGGACTTTTACTATAAAGAGGAGATACTGACAGACTTAGACCTGAATTTCGTAACCGTCTCATTTCTGTTTGTACATCAGGACTGACAGCTATTTTCTTTTCACAAAGATTAGTTATATGTAATCCTTCTATGGTTTTAACTCTGCTAAGACCCACATAATGTATGTGAGGTATTGCCTTTTTAGTATCAAAGTTAACAACTATTCTACTCTCAGTGTCACCTTGTGATCTGTGAATAGTTTTAGCAGCAGCAGGCCTCAGAGGGAATTGTTTCCTCACAACTTGAGCTGTTCTATTTCTTCCTACAGCAAATTGTGTAGTAATTGGTTTGATAGGTGTCCAAGTAGTTTCTATACCCTGTGCATACAAGTGCTTATTATCACATCTAGTTTTTCCCCCTACATCAGCATGATCAAACTGTACCCATATTATACCAGATGGTTTGTTTTTCTGATGTAATTGTACTTTTTAACAACATTTCCAGCACCATTTGTCATGCCATCTTCAGTTCTTATATTCATTGCTAATTCTGTTCTTTCACCTTCAGCTACATGAAGATTAGAGACAATTTGTTTTGTTTTCCTTGGGTCATCAGGTATCTGCTTCATTATTTTATCCCTAAGCTCTGAACAGCTTGCTCCTATTACACTATCTTGCGATTTAATAGAGTACTTTCTGCCTTTTGCTGCTTGGTGCACCTTTTCATTGAAATCATTTACCTTTTGTTTTGTATAAAAGATGAGGAATATCCATTAGGAAGTTGAGGTCACTTTTTTCATCAAACATTCTTTCTTTAAGTTTCAGAATGTCGTCAATTGTATGGATGCCTTCTCTTAATCTGTTCAAGATTTCAGCAAATAATTTGCTTTCTCTCTGTCTCATAATTTCATGTAGCTCGAACATTTTAAAATGTTTTTGCCATAGGTTTGGAGCAAGGATGCTGTATTCTGAGTTGTCTAAATCTTTAAATATATAGCCATCCATGACAGGCTGAAGTTGAAATAAATCACCAATAGCAATTATACTGATACCTCCAAAGTCATCCTTACTACCTTTTATATCTTTAAGTCTATTGTTGATTTGTACATTAAACATGGTATTTCCTACCATTGATATCTCATCTATGTATATCAGTTTCACACCTCCCAGCTGGCACCTGAGAGTATTTAGTCTACTAGAATCCAGTGGCTTATAGTCTTTCAAAGATTGACAGGCTGGTATTGCAAGAGCACTATGTATTGTGTTGCCTTTGATATTATAGGCTGCTTTACCAGTAGGAGCTAACATTAAAACCTTTACTTGATGAAAATCATCTCCAGCTTTGGTGTTATAGTATTTTAAAGCTGCTTGATACAAGGCTTTTGTAACATGTGATTTACCAACACCAGCTCCTCCACTGAGAAAACTATAGAATGGATCATTGGATGTTTTCATAAGATGTAAGCTATGGTAGAAGAATTCCTTTTGTTCTTTATTTAGTGTCTGGACCATATTACGGTATTCGCTATCTGGTATTTCATTTAATATAAGTCGCTCAGTGTTAGCTGCAGTAGATGGAATGCCTATGTCTTCTGAGAGGTCATAGCTCTCGGTGAAATCAGGGTGCAAATCTTGTGCACCTTCAGCCTCATCATGAAGTTCTATATCCTGAGTATTGGGTGCTATCAAATCATAATTATTGCCATTTTCTTCCATGCTACTTAATTTTTCTTCAATTTCATCTAAGTCTTGACTACAAACAGCATATAATTTCATTTGCTCCTCTATTTGTCCTTTTAATAGCAAGTAATTTTCTTGGTATGAAGAACAATTGCCAATCAAGTCAGTGTTTTCATTTCTCCATGATGTGAATAGCATGATTAATTCTCTATAATGTTTTTCAGGGTCTGCTATCTTATTAAAACCAACACTTCTAATAATTCTTGCTTTTGAACGCTTTTTATTCTTTTGACATTTAAATTTATTTTGGCAAGTTGCATTATGATCATCATCACCATTTTCATCATCATCATCATTTTGTTGTTCATCAATTGATGTTTCTAAAAGCAGATCATCAATATCTGTTTCAAATGACTTTTTATCATATGGCTTTCCTGGTAAGTCATACCACGCAGCCCAGTCAGCTAATGTTAAGTGTCCCAATTTTGCAGGACGTTTGGTATATCTATCCAGTAACCCACTGGCGTAGATTTCTTCAGAATCGTCTTCCATTTCTTTGATATCACTAAAACTTTTCAAAAGTTTAACTCTATCTTCTGGAGGTGAGGTATTGACAAACACTACCTGACGAGATGATTTCCTCATTGGTAATTGCAACACAATATATACGGCTTCTTGTGCACTGATTTCAACATTGTTTAGGAATTTATTGCCTATATCTCTGACTTGTTGCTTAATAGAAGCATTGCCTTTTCTGGTTTCATTACAAGCAACTCTCAAAATTTCACTGATGCCTTTTTGCGCTTTTGAGATGTAAGAGACGATATACATTGCACATGCATAAACATCAAGAACAAATTGAATGTCCATGTTTGCTCTCCATGCACTAAGGCAAGAACTGTTGTAATTATTTACCCGTAATTCATTTGGTTGTCGTTTTAAA